GGGGGGCTCTCGAGGCCTAGAGGTTAAGGTGTTCACCTCTCATTCAATAGGTCCCGGGTTCGAACCCGGAGAGCGACGGAAATTATCGGAGGTCCCATGTTCAAGTTGCGCACGTTAAAGATCACTTGGAGGTCTAAAATCGATAAGAGTATCCTTCGGCCGCCACCCGGGCAAAATTCAAAATTTCCTACAAACTGAAAATGTTTTATGTGTCCAGCGCGCTCATGTGACCTTATGCATTTGCGAGAGCTGTAAAACACTTACCAAAACAAAAATCAAAACAAAACAAAACTATATGGCATCGGACAAAAGGGCGACAGCCCAGCTTTTGCTGGATCCATAAAAAACAACAACCTACATTAAGTGAATATTTCGTTTTAAGACAAATTAATGACTAGGAAAATCGCTTTTGAAACATCCCCATTTGAACTTCTGACCAGACGCCCTATAGTTATTTCAAATTCGTTTTGGTCGTGTGATATTTCTGTTTCCTTTCACTGATATAGTTTATTGTCATGCATAATATAGATGTATACATAAAAGTCATGTAGTAAATCTACCCTGAGACAAGATCCTATCGCCAGAAAAAACCCAACAGACTTCTTGTGGCCATTTAAGCATGGTCTCAATTTTTGGGGCGGATGGCGGATGCTGAGCACAACAATCCTAATTCCCAATCCCAAGGCTTTTGAAAGAAAAAAAAATCCAGAAATCAATGAAGACGAAGATGTCGGTAATTAAAAGGGTTAACTTGGTCACAGCACAAAATTTGACACCACTGGAGATCGTATACTGCAAATGAAAAAAACATAATTATTAAGTCTAATAATTATATCAAAACTTGTACCGGATATAATGATTAACGCAAGAATCCGGTTTACACGAAACCGGGTGCCTGCCAGTCCCGCCAAGCTTTCGTGTGATCAGTCGAGAACCCGATACTGCTGAAATCAGAAACAGGGGAGAAAAGCCCGACTGTGTCAGATAACTGTGTGAGTGTGTGTTTTGGTTCGGTTTGCGAAGCCCCAAGTAACATGCTTTACAAAGGAAAATACTCTCACATCAGCTCGTCACCCATGGCAAAAAAATACTGGTGAATATGAGAATATCTCTCTCTCTCTCTCTCTCTCTCTCTCTCTCTCTCTCTCTCTCTCTCTCT